ACCTCTGGAATAGCCCCTGACGTACGTACCATATAAAAAAGGGTGAAAAGTTGCGGCTTTAAATATATAAATGCGAATTAGCTGCATATCTTTATTTTCAACAATTTTCAAAAAGGCAAGTACGCTTGTAAACAGAGAACTATCGGTGGAATCAGTGGTTCCAAAAATGTTTGTATCGTATCAGTGTGGTAAGTCAGTAGGTATTAAAAACAGTATTCCATTTCCAAAAAATATGTCAGCTAATGAGTTTTTGCACTTTATTCTATTTACTCTTCATATTATACTTTTCAAGATTGCAAACAACCTCTATATTTGTAAAGCGTATAGTCTTTAACTATCTATGTCGAGATCTACCTATTATTATTATTAAAAGTAATAAATTAAAAACAATTTGTTGTCACCCTTCAACTTTCTAATCAAATAAAAAATGGACTTGTTGTTGCCAAGTTGAAAAAATTGCATTGATGATGTCACTAACCTTATCCATAAAACAGTATCACATGCTGCTGGCTTGATGGATATAGCATCATTACTTTGTCTTTCTGTTTGTTGATTGGATACTGCAGCTATGGGAACATGATGTCACTTATCCATGATTCTTTGAACTTGTTAAATTATCGAGACAGAAAGAATTGGAGCAAAATTTGTACAGGGTGTCCCAAAATCTGTTTAGATAGCGTGAATCGGGACACTTTTTTCAAAATTTGGAAAATAAAAAAATTATTCTATTCAAGTCATCTAAACAGATTTTTACTGTAATTTTTCGTTTGTCTGTTATGGGCCCGAGACGCGAACTTTGAGACACCCTGTACACAATAAATGCTATGAATTCGGGGCAAAATTGAAATTGTTGAAAAAATTTCCATTATATTTAATGCCTCTATTAAGTCTAACGACCAACTTACTTACCTTATAAATTCAACAGTGGAAGTAATGGGACCAAAGACTAAAATTCAAAATCCCATTTTTAAGGTCCCCGACAGCTTTGTGTTCCTACCAAACCTACTGACAGGCGTAGACCAAATCGTTATTTAATTACAAGAGAGAATAAAAGCCCTTCCTATTATTTGGTGGCTCGAGAGGCTCGCTCTTTCCACATTATTAAGTTTCTGAGTTGATAACGACGGGAAGTGGATGACTAGGCGGAAAATGAAACCAGAATTTCCACTGATAATAATTATAATAATTATATTTACATTTAGCCATGGAACTGACTGATACCACGTTTAATAGAAAAATAACTTATATAATATATAATAGATAATTATAATACAATAAAATATGTACAAAAAAATTAATTTAATCGATGCCAGCGAGCGAGCGGCCAGACCCAGAGTTTTGCGACGCGGAATCACAGTCTTTTTGTAGAAGTGGCGGTTCGTGCGGCAGAAGATAGTTTCCCGAAGATTACGCTTCATATTTAACTGCATTTTATTTCTTTTTGAACATAATCGAAAAATTGAAGTACAATATTCTCTACGTCTATTATATTTTATATAAATAGACCAGGGTCGATAATTTTTGAAACCAAAAAAAGTTATAGTAGGATGAAACCCATTGGAAAAGGAAGAGAATATAACAGAAATGAAAGGAAAAATAATTTACGGGCGATCTGAGGTCGGGAAGGGGAAGGGGGTGAGTTTTTAAGGGTAAAAAGCGGTTTGTCTTGATTTCCGGAAAAACTACAAGTCCTATGGCAAAGTTGTAGGTAATAAAAAGATCTACAACTTTTGTACTTACACTTTTTTCACATAACCTCAAAATTTATGTGAAATTCAAATAACCAAGTTTTTGGTTATTTATTTATATTTTTTACAAAAAATTTGTTTTTCACGAAATTTAATGAAAACTTACCTATTTATGTCCCAAAGACGCTGTAATTTTTTTGATTTGAAATATTTATTTTTAACCTTATTTTTACTTAATATCGAAAAAGCACCCTAATTTTCAATCGAAAATTCTCACGTCAAAATATCTGCTTTTTTAAAAACGTCAGTGGGCTTTTTCTTCGTCGAAATCTCTACTTTCTGATGGTGTAAAAAAAATATACATTGCTATGGTAAGTTTTCTCAGGAAGTGCAAAGAAACGAAAAAAAAAAAGAATCCGAAAATTTTTTTCTAATCATTATGTACAATTTTGAGCTATTTATTAAAATTTACACTTTAATTACTCGAAAAACTAAGATTCCATGTTACATTGATAAACAAAAAAATTACAAGTCGAAATATACTATTACAATTAACAATTAAAGTTAATAAATATTTAATAAGACATCTACAATATTTTGAGAATTGTAGAATCTTCTTTCGTTCCTTTTTTCACTTTTTACCATTTGTGAAGGCTTAAGCACTGGTCTAAAATAGCGGCAAAATGACTAAAATTCATCAGAGACAAAAACAGTGTGGAGGAAAATACTTCTCAGTATAGTGGGTTTAAATCTTTTTTAAAATTTGTGACATGTCTATTTGGAACAAATCTTTTAAACAAAAACAAGACATATACATAGATTTAGGACCACAGTTACGGTGGATGGTGATGGATCGAACTCAAATATGTTTCTGTACAGTTTACATTCGCAGACAAAACTCTGTGTGTATGCCCTGCTTTTCAAAGGGTCTATAATAGTCCAGTCACTGAAACCTTTTGGCTACCAATTTTTTCGGATGGAATGGATTGACGCGAAATTTGAACTGTAGCTAGGGAATAGCCCAAGAAACGAAAAGTTATATAGTACCGATGTGTGCTTTTACCCTAGGGGTAGATGCCGCCCCTTCTGGAGGGTGGGAATTTTTTTATTAAAAATTATTATTCGATAGAGGGACCAATTCTAAACCAAAAATGTTCTATAAGAATTTTTTGTACAGTCAATACTTTTTGAGTGATTTGCGTCTAAACATGTTCGTTCTTAGAACAAAAAATGCATGTTTTTGGGTCAGTTTTCGCGAATATCTCAAAAACTACGAGTTTTTTCAAAAAATGATCATAAGCAAAAATGAAGGTAATTAAATAGCAAAGAGATTGTTTTTTTTTATTTTTGTAGTTAGCATAGAACCCGAGTTATGACTCCCAGATGTTGAAGTCAATTTCGAAGATAGCTAGAATCGAAACGTTCAACGCCCTGGAAAAATTAAAGGTTTTTCGAGGAAAATTTATGTAACACTTATTAAAGTTCTTGAAAAGACCTTTAAATTGAGTGGTGGTAGAAGTCGTTAGCATGAAAACAAATGAAGTTAAAATCAAAACAAAATGATTGTCTTGATTTTTGAGAAAAAAAAAATAGTATTAAAATTAATGACGACGGAAAAAAAAATTAAACGTATTCCTTCTGCAATTTTCTGTGTTAACAGTAGATTCTGGGAATTTGAACTATTTTAGAAGCCTAAATTTAAAAAAAAACGCCCTTTTTTCAAAATATTTCAAAAACTAACAAAATTATAAAAAGAATGATAGAATAAGAAATTGTAGGTTTTTTCTTACCGAACAATTTGCTTTTTTTAAATTTTTGTATTATAAAATGACCGTTAAAACTCAAAATTAAGCTCTAAGACTGCCTTTCCTGAGCCTTCTTAGCTTACAAATCTAAAAAATGAAGGGCTCAAAAAAACCGCAAATCACATAACTTAAAGTGCTTTAAATTCCCTACAAAATGGTTTTTTGAGTAAATTTGTAACTTTAAAATTACAAAAGTTATGGTAAAAAAATTAATCGCATTTTTTTTATTTTTTTTTGAGTAAGTATAATACAGTGTAGGAAAGTATCGATGGTCTATCAGAAGTTACGTGAGAGCGATAAAGTAAGCCATAGAAATCCACGTGATAGACAAGGATGGCTATAATGAAGGCGTCTAATAGTCAACGCCCATTTCGCCCTTCCACAAATAAGAAGTGGATCTTATTTGTGGAAGGGCGAAACGGGCGGTGTCTATGAGACGCCTTCATTATAGCCATCCTTCTCTATCGCATGGATTTCTATGGCTCTCACGTAACTTCAGATAGACCATCGGTACTTTCCTACCCTGTATACATACACACACGTATCCCAGTTCATATGTATGTGTACATTCGGAAATTGAAATTTTATTTGATATTAATTTAATAAAAAAATATTAAGAATAAATTCAATAAAATTTAAAAAAATGAATTATATCATCATACTCACATATAATTTTTAGGAAATTTTTCTATAAGGGGTAGGGTTTTTTATGAGGGGTAGGTCTTCCATAAGGTTTTTTTGGGTGGCTGAAAAGTTGCAATATATCATAGATCATTTGAAAACCAATAAAAAAGTTTATAATTCAACATATGCATACCATTAAAACATCTCAAACTTTCAATAGTATTTTTTTGTTTATTTTATTATAAGGGATGGTTTTTAAGGGTTGCAACTTTGTAATGAGTCGTAAGCTTTCTAATAGTAGAGTATGTTGGAGAGTTCTAATCCACCCCCTCCCCATTTTACCCCCCACCACTTTTTTTGGCTCAGCCAATCAGAAGACGGTGAGTTCTAATCCGCCCCTCCCACTACTTTCCTCCCACCACTTGGCCCCGCCTCTTTTTAACCCAGCCTATTAGAAGACGGAGANGGGCGGATTAGAACTCTCCGTCTTCTGATTGGCTGGGCCAAAAAAAGTGGTGGGGGGGTAAAATGGGGTGGGGGGGTGGATTAGAACTCTCCAACATACTCTACTTCTAATGAATAACAAAAGAAATGCAATGCATTGTGAATGCACCAAAAGAATATTTTAAACTGTTAAAAACTTTTTTCTGTTTTTTGGCCTTGTAAGGGTAGTTTTTAAAGATTTTTAAGGGTTGAAAAGTGAGTAAATTTCATAAATTATATTAAAAAACATGAAAGGAAATTTAAAATACGTAAATCTGTGATTTTCGCTTTTTTTCGTACAAGGGTAGTTTTCACCCCCAAAAATAGAAAAAAGCACACATCTAGACAATATAACTTTTGAAGTGGGGGGTCAGATGAGCTTGTATGCAAATTTTCAGGAAAATCCATGCTATCCGAAAAAATTGGGAGCTGTTACCTTATTTTCGCCCTCAGTGACTGGACTATAATTGTGACACAATAAAATGCATGTAAAACTGGTCCTAAATATATTGCAACTGTTTTAATTTTTAAATTACACAAACCACTTGAAACGGAATTTGACGTTTTAGAGTGCGTAATATTCGAAAAAACTTTCGTGAGCTTTTGATTACATTTTGCACAGTCCAAAGGAGATTAAATAAAGTTTTTCTTGCAATTAGATAAAATTTATCAGAAAATACGTCCTGCGCGCTATCGTGAGGCTGAGAGAAGTTCGCCCAGGTAAAGAATTGATTCTCTGGGCATGGCCGCCACCGCGCTGGATATGAGACAGAAGAGCACACTTGAATCATGAGGCTAACCTATGGCCAACACTACTTAGATGAGCTAGAGTCCGAATATTGACAATTACATTTTGATATTCACAATTAGAGTTTGATAAAATGCTTCCATTTTTTGATTTAGCGACCCCTAGAACTTAGGCGAATCTTATTTACAAGATAATTACAATTTCTATAGAGAAAAAAAAATCGACGTCCTAACAGCGCAACTGAACTCTTCAACAAGTGGAAATAACGTACGAGGTGGTCTTTCCCTTCATTGTAATAAAACTTTTTATGCTCGGGAATAAAAACTACTCAATTTTTCCCGTACGTATTCGAATAGCGTTTCATAAATATTCAGAGAATGTTAAATATTGGAAACGTTCGTATTATGTCGGAGGGAATAAATTTGTTTAAATTTTTTATTGAATAAATATCCTATGAATATGCAATGTCCACTATATAGACACGTGGAAGTTCGAAATTAATTAATTTTTTTATATTAACAGAATTCAGCCTAAGCAACAAAATATTTTCATTGTTTTCAGTAACCTTTCCATTTGTTGAGGAGTTCACACGAATATATATCAATAAATAAGTAAACATCTTAATAAAAATAACACAGTCAAAAATAAAACATGATCTTACATTACACTAGATACAATTTCAAGAGAATTGCAACGAATACACCATGAGCATTAAATCCACAGAGACTTCGAATGTAAAGTCGATTTAAAAGAAACGTTTAAGCTTGCACCTCGACATTTTGCTTCTTGAGAATGTTCGACATAGACTAGTTTTTATACACATATACATTTATTTGTTGTCTTTTTCCGTCCGCCCGCGCGCGGCGCTATTCGCACAACACTCTTCGTCTCACTCTTTTAGGAACTTTCCGCGCGAGCAGCTAAGGCGTCGCTACTGTGTCGTCACACCTGCACAGTCTTTTCACTTTGGACTAGGAAGTTGCTGTTGCCCTGGAAGGCCACCTCGGGGGTGTCGCTGGGGCTCGGGTTCAGCGAGGGCTCTATCGAGGGGCCCATCACGGTGATGATCGGATGGAAACCTGAAAAAAAAACAGTAGTTTAGAGTCAAGTTAGTGTCTACTTTTAACCTCCAGAAACTACTTAAGATTGTCCGCACAGGGCAAGTAATAAACATTAAGACATTCAGTTAAATCGTTAATAAACATAGCAAACAACGGTGGCCCCAGAATTGATCCTTAAGGAACTCCCGAAAATTGAAAAAAATTATCTAATTGAAACGTACTGGATAAACCGGTGCCTGTTATTGAAATAGGACGTAAACAAAGATAATATAACATGGGAAATACTATGTGATTCCAATTTCACTGGTAAGCTTCAGTAAACTGGGTCTTCGCTCATAATATTTGATGTAGAATAACGACCATTTATAAATATGAAAAACTGTTTCAAGACTTTCAGAGATGGCTAGTTATCTTACATCGTTCTTAGTACCTTTTTGTAGGGGGCATATTCACTACACTTTCCATTGTTGTGGACCTTACTTGAATTTAATTATGGAATTAAATATGATTATTTAATTACCTTTGATTTTCTTAATTGCGTGTGATTATGTTATCTGCAATAACTGCGACAATGTAGAGTATAAGATGCAACAGACGACAAAATGGATGTAATGCTATTCTGACTATGATAAAGTAAAATTGATGCAGAAAAATAATTGGCAAAGCGATGACAATCAGGAGGATTGTTTATATGTATATAATAGTGACTTATAAAGGATAGAACTGAGGTAGAACTAGATCTTGAATTAACATAAGACCAAAATCTTAAACTAATGCAAGATTTAACTTCAGTTCTTATTTATCTAAAACAGATTTAATCATCAATGACTTTATTAATAATGTTACCGTTAAACCAAACCGGACAATGTCTAAACTAATGCAAAAAATTAAAGGGTCAAAAGAATTTCCGAAATTTTTTCGTGATTTTTGACAGACTGTATTTAGGTGAAAAAATGCATTTTGAAGCTCTAAGATTCTAGTTTTTAGATCTTTCGGTCAAAATTTTTTAGAAGCTACGGTTATCATGCAATTCCACCAACTTGGAATTTTTTTTCAACTCTATTCAACTTCAACTTCAACTTTATTCATCTTCAATTTCCTTTTTTATTAAATTTCGATACGTTAATGGAAAAGGTTCTTTTTTTTCTTCAATCATCGATATTTCGGCGACAAATAGTCATACAGAGAATTGAAGGGAAGTTTCGAAACCTGGAATAAATTTCCTATATGTTGCCGCAACTTTTCGGAAAAGAATTTTTTTTTCATCTCTTCTTACACGTATTTTAAAGAACAGAAAAAAATGGTAATTCATGTTTTTTTTAGAAAATTGACTGCTAAATTAGAAATGTATATTGTTAAGCATGACTTTTACAGTTCGATATACCCAGAAGAACCCTGTGAAGTTTCATCTCGATCTAGAGAACCGTTTCTTTGTTTCAGTCAAATTTTTGAAAAAAATTAAAGGGTCTCGTTTTTTGAGCTTAAACACTTCATAATCAAGATTAAAATGGAAAAAAAAAATTTTTGAGGTTTTCTCACACTTTTACCACAAATGCCGTTTGATGAAAAAAAAAAAAATTTAATTTTTTTTCAGAAAAGAAAAAGGTTAGATACTTTAAAAAAAAACCGACAAGAAAATTGAAATGACTTCAAAATGCATGAATTTATTGTAATGGGGTTTTTTGAGTCTGTGATTACGAATCTGGACTCTAAATCACGAAATTCAAAATGGCGGATTCAATATGGCGGACAAAAAAATTAAAATGTCTGAAAATGCCTGAATTTTTGTGTAGTAGTAAAGTAAAAAAGAAAAAAATAACAATTATATCAACTTGTAGATATTATATCATGCTTGTAGGTGTATATTGACTTCAAAATCGTAATTAGCGACCCAAAAAACTCCTCAACACAATTTTTCATTGTGAAGACATTTTAATTTTTTATACTCGCCAAATGGGACACCCATAGACACACCGGCCCTCCCCCTTTTTTCGAAATATATATTTTTTTTTTGATAGATTGAAACGTAGTGCAGGATACTATAATCATCCTCTTTTAAAAAACAACGCAGTTATCAAAGTTGATACAAATAATATCAAGAATTCTATATTTTTTATTTATAACGTGATTGATTTGGTCAAATTAACAAGAATATATGTATATCAGGAACTGACTACGTTCATCTTTCATCTGGGTGGCACTGCAGCTTATTTTATCCCCTTAATTTCCATATTTAATATCCACTACGAACCAAAAGAGGCAGCAGCCCTATCCAATCGCTCATTGTTATCATTTATTTTAATGATGGCAATAATTCATGTACAAAAGTATATCTAGAAGAAGACTGGGAGGTCAGCACTTGGCTGTTTACTTCACCGTCGTCAATCGTGATCAATTAGGTGAGACTACATGACAAGTATATAACCGATCACCGCCATATACTAATTGGTTTGTTCATAATAGGCTACGGCAGAGATCAGTCGATAAAATCGTCCGCGAGTGTTAACACTAACTAGAACACGAGTTTTCCGAAACTTCCTAACCTTTGAGTCGGTTAAATCCCTATTTCCATTAATTAAATCGCAAGCTGCAGAGACATTACATACCGATCGCATGTTTCTTGGAGCTCTCTCGGGGTTCGGTCGCATGCTAGTGCAGCGTAACTACTTAACAAGCCTTTATAGGGTATGGAATCCGACGGGGAAGTCTGGATCCGCTGCTCTTATTAATTGAACAAACGCTGGTCATGCAACCCTCGGATCTTTTCATATTTCCGTAATAGGAAACATGTTATAATGCCGCGATATCGATCTGGGAGTTAAAGAGGATAGAGCGTTACATATTATCGCTTACCTGTGTACCCCGTGAAGTCTTCCACGAGCTTCTGACTCCGCACCGTCGTAGACCCGGTGATCATGTTGTCTATGGCCATTCCGTGCCTCTTCCGACACCTCCAAGCTACCACCGCCAACACTATCGCGAACAACAACACAGCGGCGAAACCACCCAATACAAAGTCAAGGTTCTGGTACTTGTGTCTAGCATTTTCACCACGCATTGCACTGAACAACACCGAAAATAACGGAGATTTCACGTTAACATCATCGGGTGCTTCTTCCGGGATAATATTCATGTCGGTCTCTGTAGACACCTTCTGCGCTCGGCCTGTGTCCAAGTCCATCATCTCAGACTTGAGATTATCAACTCCTGGTATCCTAGACACCAGTTCCACTTGGATATGGTAGATAGTATCAGGCCATAAGGAAAGGGTGACGCAGGTTGAATCTGTAAACAGATTTCCTTTCAACCCACCACCGTCCACTTCCCAGGTGACCAGGTATACCCCACGAATAGCTTTCGGCTCCCAAGCAATCTCTCCGATCACCAGGACCTTCTGGTGGATCAAAGAAACTTCTCGTAGCATCCAAGGAGCGTCAGCGTCAGTAGTTGTGGTTTTACTAGTGGTTGCTTTTATCTCTGTGTTAATAGTCTTCTTTCTCTTCTTGTTTTCACGAACGCTAGCTTCGTCAGGACTGTAGATCGTCACCAACCCTTGGGGATCTACAACCAGGACGCGTAGCATAGCTCCGCCTTGGTCTGAATTCATGGGCACTCGCGTCGTGTGGTCCAAAGTCTGGATGATCTGCCTCCACGGTCCAGACTGTGACTTTCTCATGACTACGTAGACCAGTGGAGTTTGAGAGTCGATGGAAGACGGCCTTGGCCAGCGCGCCAAAGCTCCAGAGACTCGAATAACGCCCTCGCCTTTGGTGTGGATGACCGGCTGGGTCTGTTGGGTGCGGGTGGCCGCTTCGGCGTGGAATCTGCAGGCTTCCTGGCACCCAGGGAACTGCAACAAAAAAAATTATTGTTAAATTTCATTTCCAAATTCATTGCGATGATTCTAAGCTATAAGATATACTTTATACGGTCATTTTATGTGAAGGTAAGATCATACAAAGAATGTGTACTGTTTAGGTCATTAATTCTGGTTCTAAGCAAAAAGAAATAAACGGATGCCATCCACATCTGCAGACGCACGCGAGAGGTCGGCTTTCCTCTCTTTTGTGTGATATTTAAACTAAGGTATTTCGTAATAAAACAAGCGCACGAAACAAAGATCAAAGAAGAATATAAGTGTAATTTAATAAAGGTTATTCTGGTATTTTATATGGAAGGTCTTTGTGATGAGTCGGGTTGCAGTCTAGGCATTCGCAACGGATTTAATGGAGACACAAGACGGAAATAAATTAGTAAATAACGTCGAAATTTACGGAGGATCTCCTTTCGGTAGTTTCCTTTTTTATAAGCAAATAATGTTACAAAAATTGAGAATACGATTGCAAAAATGTGCTTGCTTTTTTGAGGTTACTAAATACTACAAATGTTACTACAAACAGCTACATACCATTGACTATAAAGTTTATAGTTTATAGTCTATGGTATGTTTATATAAACGACATATCCCCTTGATTTAGAAGGTTCTGAGCACTATTGCAGCCTCTTACAAAGGCAGACCTTCTCAAAAAGAACCAAGAAACCCCTATTGATTTAGAGACTCTTCCAAGAGATAGCAATCGCGGCATAGACGACCGTCTGCCGGTATGTGGGCCAGAGCTCGCTGCCTATCTCCCGAAGTTTAATTGCAGCCGCCTTATCTCCCGACTGCAGGCTCCCGAAGACCAAGTTGTCGGTCCCGGGGAGCTGCATATGCATCAGAGTTCGACGTTAGTCCGCCAGACAGATTAATTCTTCGACGGGCGCTCCGTCAGTGCCAAGTTGGCAACCGGCGAGGCGGACAACAATGGATGTCGAAACCCCAAACTAGGAAACTCACTTTATTTGATTAAACGGGCGTCTGGATGTGGAGACCGCGCCGCGGCGGGACGCGAAGGTACCCAAAGCGGGGAGAAAAATAAGCGCGGTCGGCGGGACACAACAAACGTTTTAGGTGGCGCGTTTTTGCGCCCCCCTAATTGTGTCGCTAATGGGAAACGCCCCGGAATGGATCGCTTGACGAATATTTACGATTTAAACGCATAAAATAAGGGTTTTAAGCCCGCATTAAGCGGGGTCAGACATATAAGTAAAAATTAATTTGTCAAATTGCAACTTAAGAGGGCTTTATAGCAAATAGGCAACCAGCAATACATTTTCTTAGATTTTATTACACAGTGTGTGTGAATTAATGTACAAATAACAGACTTTCCCTCATTTTAACGCAGATTTACTATAAAATGGACTTAGTTTGAAAATCAAATTACTTTTTGGTGTAAAGAAATTTTTAATTTGCCGCTTTTGAACAAGCTTCTAAGATCAAATTGTCATCAAACAAACGAACGCTATTAACAACTGAAATGAAAACTTAAAAGTCAACTGAGTACGTCGCTGTTACGAGCCGCGTGCGCCGAACTCCAACTTCCATCGTAAAAAAATATTCAATATTCAAATAACTTCCACTTATTATTTTTGTGTTTCTGGTGCATTTACCCCTGTGTCGTGCCGACGACAATTTGCATATCGACCGTTATTGTGCTGTCGCAGACACTGAATCTGTTTAGCATTTGAATGAAAGATTAATAGTTTTAATTTCGGTATGCTAGTGGAGGGAATCCCCCGATAGTACGCGAGCTATTCATTGCAGTCGAGAATTTGAATTTTAAGGAGTCTATTAGATGAAGTTCGCCCCCAGAAGATTTATATTGTACTTCCACGACCCACGGCTTCAGCCCGCTTCTCCCAGGAGGTGAATTAATAAATAAGTTGCCGGCTCGAGCTCCAGCTGCTGAAGACAGAGCTTCGAGTTCTGGGAGAGAGAATGTGAGATGTTATTAGTTTATGTTAGTTATAGTTTCTGTATTATTATTCCGGAGGCGCATACTTACAGTAATCAAGCATTGGTAAATACGGTGAATGTAGACAAAATGCTACGACCGCAGAATGTAAACGAATAGTTTTCTTGCCTTGTGTTGCAAGAGAGAAGAAATACTACGATTCATACAAATAACCGTAACATTTGTCGTATTTTCTTAAATTAATTTTTAAATGTCAGTATAAATTGTCGATATACATTGATATAATTATTGTGTCAAATATTAATATTTCATTTTCATTGCACCCAAGTCTGTCAGCGAAACATAAACATAACAGAGCGTTGTGATGTTTATGGAAAATTCATTTATTTTCATAACGGCTATTATACAGCCCAATATCCTGTAAAATCCAGATTATTCACTGCATGGTATTATAATCAGTGATCACCAACTATTTATGAAAACAGCGCATCGTGACAGCTCCAAACCGTCCAAACCGAAACACTCGTACACGTAGTCGTACCTCCCGCGCCCGTCCGAACGTCCAAATAAAATCAATAATTCGAACTCTTGACGTTCCGTCGCATGACAATCCCTCATTACGGCCGGCGTGAATGCTCCATTATGCGAGGCGATACAAAGCGCCTATTATGCCCCGTTGTATTTGGGCAGTTGGCGGTTCGAGGGCGGCCCACCGTTGCTGTTTAATTTATTTTTATTTACGCCTCTCATCGTCCGAACGGGACCGGGAAAAAAGCAGTCCGCGCGCTCTCGGGTAAGTCCGCGGATTTGTCGGCGGGGACGCGCGGGCGTGTGTGGTCGCCTTTAAGCACGCCGAGAGTGTTTTTTAGAACATTGAGGTAAAAGATCAGTCAATATTTTAATAAAAAATGTGAAATTTTGGCAAATTATTGTTAATTCCCATATACCTAAAATTTTCGATTAGTTTGTTGAACAAAAAATTTCTTGGGAATTCAAATTCATTGTTATTTATACAGGGTGTTTATTAAGTACCTGTACAAACTTTAAAGGGTGAATCTTTGACTAATTTTGGGATAAAAAGTTCATATGAACTCAACGGCTTAGTTCTCGAGATACAGAGCGTCCAAATTTTTTTTTTTTGTTTCAGCAATTATTGTAAATGTTATTAACTTATTTGTAGAGGTAGTTTAGTCTTAGTCTTGTAAAGGATCTAATGTTTGTCAAATCATAATACAATCAATAAAAGACACATTTTTTTAACTTGTTTTTCAAAAACTTTTAATAATTCAACTTAAAAAATTCCAATTCAAGTTTAACTTTAACCGTTTTTTTATAAAACTGCTGCTTTCAGCGACAAATACTAAGGGTACCTTTGTACGTAAAATTAAATGGAGAATATGTATGTATACTAGGGTGGCCAAAACAAAAAACGATTTTTTTTTTCGTGTCTTGTGAAAATATGTTAGTTTATCATGTTTTAAGGGCCCCCTCAAAAATTTGCTCAAAAAAAATTTATTTAGAGGTCGCTCAAGATTTTAAAAAATTTCCAAAATCGTCAAAAATTGAATTTTTTTTCTCGTTATTATATCATTTTCTAGGTTGAAAAAGATCTCGATTCTGAAAATTTCAAATTAGAAGATGATAAAATAACGAGAAAAAAATTTAAAAAAAAATCATATTTTGACAATTTTGGAAATTTTTTAAAATCTTGAGCGACCTCTAAAAAAAATTTTTTTTGAGCTGATTTTTTGAGGAGGTTCTAAAAACATGATAAACTAACATATTTCCACAAAAGACACGAAAAAAAAATCGATTTTTTTGGGCCACCCTAATGTATAAAAATGACATCCTGCTCTACACAAAAAGTTATGGTTATTTAACTCCAGGTACAACACTGTATGTGGCGCTCTCTAACATTAAACAAAAAACTAATATTTGAGTTTCTCATCATCAATACTCTTGAGTTTTCCGAATTTCGTAAAATTACCATGTTATTGAACGGAAATATAATCAAAATACCAAACAAAAAAATTTTTTTGAACGTTCTGTATCTCAAGAACCAAGCTGTTCTGGACCCATGTGCATATGAACTTTTTATCTTAAAAATAGTCAAAGTTTTACCCATTAAAGTTTGTACAAATATATAAACCCCTGTATATTATTTAACTTTTAACCGAAGAATTACTAATCCTGTTTTTGCTGTATATCTTAAATTCATAAAATACTTACACAAATCTCCTTCTCTTCACACATGGCACCCCACACTTGGAAGTTGGACTGGAGCAGCTCGCAGTTTTCCCAACACTAGAACAGAAAAAAATAAATGAGCTCCTATATCGACAAGCAGCGTGCCTTATGGCGAGATAGTTACGCTGACGCAAGTGTGAATGATATATATTAAAAGAACACATGATACGTGAGAACAAACGATACATCAACGAATCAACCATAGGCGTAGCCAGTGTACAAATTAAGGCTATGAGAAAAAAACGTGTTTTTTAATAGATACTTGTTTGGAACTAAGCCCAATTGTCTTACAAGAACATAACATTAATTCCAATTCCCTCTACCCATTCAGAACAATCAGACATGCCTTTAAAACGAATTTTATGGTGTAAACACAATTTTATTCGATGTTTATTACCGACACGTCCATGGGTTCTAACTAAAAGGCCATATGTGACTTTTACGAGTCCGTAATCACTTCACAATGGCAATTCAAATAATAAACCGTATCTCAATTAATAAAACTGATAACTACTTCCGCGCCATGTTCGTTTTACCAGATAGACAAGTCTTAAACTGGCATCACTATACAGCCTTGTCAAAGAAAGAGGTAAACGTACAACTTGAGATAAGGATAAGACGTGCTACTGGGGCTTCCGGACAAATAAAACTTTATTGGGTTTTTAATGCTCTGTATATCCTCTTGTATGATGTTTTACAACCTCTGTGTTTATTGTTTAATGACTCGAGTCAGACTTTAGTGTGTAGTGAAGTCTGTAGTTCCTTCCATGGAAGAAGCAATCGGTTTCGTCACCGAAAATATTATCCAACTGCGAAAAAGCTAAGATTACATACACTAATTTCATAAATAAAAAGTTTCTGTCCTTCACAACACAATTACCACTTTATTGAATACTAACAAAAATAAATGACACCACTGGGATGCTGGCAATGACTTTCGGAGAGAATCAGACACCCGCTATTGTGTCCCCTAATGAACACGGCCTTTCACTACAATCGAACGTTGACGGCGCCATATTTGAATCCTTTTTTACGGAACACTTGATTCACGTCAACTCCCGACGATGGGGAACACGAAACATATGCCCCGTCCCAAAAGATAACAGCCGTTGTTTTGAAAATAAATAGAATAGTTTTTTTAGAATTAACAACGCTACACAATGTATTCGGAGTGTATAAAGTTATAGTCAGCGCGCTCCCACTCGGTGGAAAATGATTTGTACAGGGCAGGAATAAAATATGTTTGGACTTATCCAATAATAATTTAGGAATGACTGGAGATTCAAAAGACATGCATTTATTTAACGAAATAGCGATAGCAAAGAGGAGGCCCAAGTGACACCGATTTGTGCCACAAAAAAAAATGATTAATGTCCACTACCTGACCGTGAAGGTCGCCATATTGTTGCGATGGCATCCAGTAATTGAGTTTAACTTAACAATGACCCTTTAACAACTGCCTAACCTCTCCTTCGAGCTAGAATTAGATCCGAACGACATAAAGAGAATCGTTTATTCCTTATCATTCCGCTTAATAGATGCCATGGAATCGTGATACAGTGATTCTGTTCTCGACCGCTGTCTCGTTGAAAGCGCTGTGACAGGTTGAACAAATATTGTCTTGCAGTGACACCTCGACAATGGGGTGCAGCGAAAAATTTTACTGACAAAGGGACAAAGGACTGTGGATCGGTGGCGTCAGCATTGCAGTGGGAGGGATATTGAATTTTAATGAGGCTATTTGAAGGAGAAAAACAACAATTGTCATGTCAATAAAATTGCTAATAAACCAAACACTTGTAGAATTGTCCCAAAGCTTTCTCACTTTAATGTATAACTGTCTTGGATGATTCAAAAGTATGTTGAAAATGTTGCCAGCAAACAACTTCGACTTTACCCGTTTCGCTGTGTCCCGAAGATAACCGGAGCATTCTAATTGCGAAATATTTATAGCCGACTCACTCCAAGTATATGATTATGACTATACACATGTAAGACCGCCTGCAGATGGCCAGATAGATAGATCTTAGTCATAGCTTAGGTACAGTAGCAGGAAAAGATAACCCCGCGGGTATCCGGAGATCTGAAATCAGATGTATTGTATTTAAAATCAAGCCATTACATACCGGCGAGATTAGTTGATTGCCTATCGAAATCACCATTCACATTGGAGCTCGCATATAATGCCTGGACGTATTGCTGCAGATGGAGATAGAGCGGATTTGCATAGTCCTTAGTGGTAAAGGAAAAATGACTGTTGTGACACTGTACGCAGTACAAGTCGTTTATTGTTAAGAGTTAACTTGGTTTTGTTGCACCAGCTACTAGGCTCGGAAAATTTTCTCAGCCCAAAGCAGAATTATTAATGCAACAGAACATTTGTACATATGTCCGCAATATCGTTAATACAGACAACAAATAGAGAGAGTCTAAGTATGGAACTTTGGGGAACACCTAAAGGTTGTAAGAAAGTATTAGATTTGAAACCACGGTATTGCACATATTGGAATCGATTACACTAGTCTAGACGACTGCATATAACTACGTTGTTGGGTTTAGTGGTTTAGATCAGTAGAAATAGTCCAGTTTTACACAGTAAGTTTAAAATTGAAGACTAACCTTGAACGGAAGCATGAGATTGTTTGAAGGTGTATCAAACACTTACTAAAATTGTTGAAAATATTAATATACCGCCCCTTCCCCACACAAGCCTTCGATTTCCCGGTTTGAGCGTTGAAATGTGGATTATTTCCGATAGGAACGTCTCCAGCCCGTCCTCCTGAATCTAGTTCAGAGTTTATAAATGCGGGCTTGAGTAACGACGGAATAAATATCACGCGATATCGCAAAGTCACACTGGTGCTCCTTGAGGGTCTGGGTGGCGGAGGTGAACGCGCTGCCAGCTGATAAATCGCCGGAATGAGAACGCATTCATTACGGACTATCATTCTTAATAAAGAAAATAAACAATTTACATTGTTGCTAGTAATTGAATTACGCTCATCTAATAATAATAATACCCACATTGTCTCGGAGATTTAACTAGATTAAAATTCATAATTGAAATGAATTATACCCACATATCACCCACCTAGCTGCGTGAAAGAGGATCTCTCGACCGAGAAGAAGGGCTGGTTTCGAGACTATGTAGTCATTTCTCATAAAAAAAAAACAACAGAAGGACAAAGTTATTAAAAAAACAATTTATATATCAACTTTCTGGCCCTATAGGTTATTGAATATGGGATTTTAAAAGGAATTATGACGTTCAAGATATTTTATTACATGAATCGTTCAAATGGTCATTTTAGATGAAGAAACCGCGGAGTGCTATTAAATTATAGAGTGGAAATTGGAGATAGAGGTGAAAATGCACCCCTTTGAGATTTTTAATTGTAGCTCGAAAACGAAGCAAAATTTCGCTATGGTTCATAGGAAAAATTATTTAGAGAATTGAATTTCCCATCGAAATGGCTTATTTAAAAAAATTAAAAGGAAAATTTTATGAAAAAAAAAAACGTTAATAAACAATTTGGAAAAAAGGAAAAAATTCAATTTTCTGATTTTTTTTACTTATTTGCCTCTAGTTTTCTTTTGAGTAAAGATAGATCATAGATAAAAAAGTAGATAAAATTTCCTTCAAAACAAGGGGTTGTAAAGTATTTTTGGATGAAAATTGACTGATATATGGACGCCCAAACTTAGCCAATTTTTCGATTTTTGTCGCGTTTACCCTTATACGTTTTCATTCTCATATTTTCTGCAAACAAGGAAGGAAATAAGACGTTCAAGGATTTTCATCACATTACTTGTTGGAAGGGCCATTAAAAATGAAAAAACGCGAGGTGCTATTAAATTATATAAAGGGTTGAAATTGAAGATAGGGGTGAAAATGCACTTCTGCAGTTTTTTTAATTTAGCACGGAAACGAAGCAAAATTTCGGTATAGTTCATAGGAAAAATTTTGTAAAGAATTAAATTCCTCATCGAAATGACTTATTTAAAAAAAGTAAAGAGAAAACTTTATGCAAAAAATCGTTAATAAACAATTTTAAAGAAAGTAAAAATTTAGATTTTTTGATATTTTTACTTGAGAATTTAAGTACAATAAAGTTTATTAATAATGTACATATAGTGTGTCCACGGATGGAGTTGACAAGATGAGAAACTCTTTTGTTTTTGACTTCATCGAAAAATGTCACTCTTTATAAAAAGTTCTGCCCCTCGAAAAAATGAGACTGTCAACCAAACATCTTAGATATATAGGGTGCTCATAAATTAAAAAAAAAACACGAAAATACTCAAGACAGAAGTACCTACCATTATTTATTATTTTACCCAACATTTTTATAAAACAACTCTGTTTATAACCTCAAATAATGTCCTAATACAAATTTTTAAATAAAAATTTCAATTCTAACTTTTACTCTATATGTATAGCTACTTCCCATCTCAAAAATTGAAATTTTCATTTTAAAATTTGTATTAGGACATTATTTGAGATTAAAAACAGACTTATTGGATAAAACTGTTGTGTAAAATAATAAATAATGGTACTTCTCTCTTGAGTATTTTCGTGTTTTTTTAATTTATGAGCACCCTATATATCTAATCTAAGACGTTTGTATGACAGTCTAATTTTTTCGAGGGGCAGAACTTTTTATAAAGAGTGACATTTTTCGATAAAGTCAAAAACAAAATAGTTTCTCCTCTTGTCAACTCCATCCGTGAACACGCTGTATATACATCTATACTAATATTATAAAGAGGAAAGATTTGTATTTTTGTATGTATGTTTGTTACGAATAAACTCAAAAACTACTGGACGGATTTCGATAATTCTTTCATCATTAGAATGCTACATTATCCCTGAGTAACATAGGCTATATTTTTTATATCCTAAAATGTTTAAAATAAATTTCCACCCGTGCGAAGCCGGGACGGGCCGCTAGTTATTAATAAACTTTATTGTACTTAAATTCTCAAGTTTTTACTAAATTATTTTATTAAAAAAGTAAAAAAAAATCAAGATCTTATTTTCTGCTTTCTTTAAAATT